CACGAATCCCACATAAATAGGACAATTATGGTGTGTTTCACCAAGAAAAAGATCATCATTAGTGAATGTGATTTTCACATCACAAGTGTCCACTTCTTCAAATAGATGCCCGGTAAGTTTTTCAGACAAGGGAGGTGGAAAAAACGATGGATCTTCCTTCTTTGTCTCTTCTTCATCTACCTTACAACATGAGGCCTCGATATCTTCACAAGAAGCCTGTGTGTGTAACCAACTTGGCATGAATTCATCCAGTATCACTAGACGATGTAGGCTTTGATATTGATTCTTCTCAATTTTTGTTTTCTTCCAATTCTCTTTATCATTTTCTTCTTGGGTATTCACCATTTTCCCTTAGTCAATTTCTTACTTGACTCATTTTGTGAATTTGTCTTGCAGTATCTCTGCCAAGTCACAAGATTACAACCTTCATCATCAGTTTGACCACCACGTGATTCACTTTCCTCTAGAGATCTTTCCTCTACTATTACTTTATTCATTATAGGAATAAGCTACGGTTTGCTCATATCGATAGGTTCAAAGTCACCAAATACAATCATATTTTGTGATGATGTAGTGTGGATGACATCACATTCATGTACTTTGACAAAATTGCAAATGACAATGGGATCAAGTGAACAAAAAATGACATAGACTTGATTCAAACTTTCCTTCTCATCCTCAAGCAAGATTTTTCCTTCAACGACCAAGTCCATGACTTTCTCCCTGAAGATAAAGCATTTTTCACTAGGGTGGCCAATCAACCAATGGTACTTGTAATAATTTGGATCATTAACCCTTCCGTATTTTTCTGATCGCTTCATGTCAGGTAACTCAATGATTTTCAACTCAAGGAGTTCTTCAAAAATTGTTAGAACACCAGAGTCCAAGAATGGATACTCTTTTGCTTGGATTTCCTTCAGAGTTAACTTTCAGCCACCTTTATCATGTAAGGACTTGTCTTCACACTTTGCTTCTTACTCACTTTTGTAGTGAACCTTAATGGCGAGGCATTAACATTCATTGATTCCTTGCTTTCGAAGACTCAGACTTCCCTACAAACTTTCCTCCTTTCTTTATTTCTTAATTATCCTTCACTTTGCAAGGTTCATAAACAGGTGGCCCTTGATTTCCACTTGAAGACATGCTTAACTCCATACCATGAGCACGTGTAGCCAATTCTTCAAAAGACTTAGGCTTGATACCATGTAGGATGTAGCGAAGTCCCTAGTGCATTCCTTGGATACACATTTCTATTCCAAAAGCTTCACTAAGTTTGTCTTTATTGTTGAGGCTTGCATTTCTCCATCGATTGATGAAATCCACGACTGGTTCATTCTTTCATTGACGTGTGTTGGTTAGTTCAACCATACTTACAGTTTGTCTTGTGCTATAGAAACGGTTGAGGAACTCATGTTCAAGTTGCTCCCAGCTATCAATGGATTCAGCCTCTAGATCAGTGTACCAATCAAAAACATTTCCTTTTAAGGAGCGTACAAACTGCTTGACAAGATACTCTCCATAGGTTCCAGCATTATTACAAGTTTCGACGAAGTGTGCAACGTATTGATTTTGATTTCCTTTACCATTGAATTGTTGAAATTTTGGGGGTTGATAGCTTGCATGCATCTTCAAACTATCAATTCTCGTAGTGTATGGCTTCGCATATGCGAGAGAAACCTTGGTAGCGACATAGTACTTACCTTTGATGGTTCCCATGATGAAGTCTTTTAATTGGTCAATGAGAATAACCCCATCAGATGAAATCTGAAATTCTTTAGGAGTCATTGTCTGCCTTGCAGATGAGTCTCCTTTATCTTGCATCATAAGGAGTTTTTTAGGTGCATGACTTGAATATCCCTCCATCATGCTTTCACCTCCACCTGTTATCTTGACAATTTGATTATCTTGATCTTGCATATGCTTTGTTAACCCCTCAATTGCCTTTGTTAAATTTGCGAGTTGTTCTTTAATTGTTGAAGTGTTAGTCAACATTACTTGGATAACTATTGTTGATGGTGGAGCAAAGCATGGGTTTTCTCTTACACCATACTTTAAGTGAAACAACTCATATGGAGTGATTAGAGCAGATCCAGTAATAAAGACAGCATGATCATCTTGTATGATAAGATTCTTGGATCTAAAAGGGCTAAGTAGAGCTAATGTCTTTTCAACAATTCCAACAATGTTCGTTCTTTCTACCAATTCGGTCGAAAATGATATTGCCCCCTCTGAGGATCGAAAATCAAAGAAAGGAACTGATGCAGACGGCATTTGAAATGCTTGTTGTCCCAATAAGTTTTCTTTGTTCCTAATGACAGGTCCTACACTTTCCATAGTAACATCCAACAAGTTTTCAACATCAAATGAAAACTTGAATTCTGCCTTAGACGCAATGGATTTGAAATTGATCTTCTGAGGATCCATTTCAGTGTTCTTAAAATTTTTTAATTGAATAGATGAAAGGTAAAGATTGTCCCACTGGGCGTGCCAGAAATTTGTAACAACAAATTTTCGCGCCGAGAAAAATAAATAATCAAGACTAAAACATTACGTAACAAATGTAGTATTTGATTTCAATAAATAATGAGTGTTACAATCTCTATGGTATTCCTCTGATTCTTCAAGAATGTAAAGTATCTTAATGAGCTTGATTTTGATTTTGATTAAAGGGCTTGTAAAGCTTGATCTTGAATCTCTTTCTTGAATTTGGATTTGATCACGAACAAGTAATTTGATCTTGAACGCCTTGGTATTTGATTTGCCTTCGTTCTTGAACTTGAACTTGTAGCTTGTAGAGAAAAATGCAGTCTTTGATCCACGAGCTCTGCTTGCTTCTTGTTCTTAATTCTCGTGTCTTCTAGCTTTATGAAGGCCTCTATTCATAGTTATAGGGAGTGGTGTGGCTTTGCGATTTTATTGGTCTATTTGAACTAACCAATACTATCGAGACACTTGGCAGAACTCTATTGGTTGTTGATTGATTTGGTATGCCACCCTTTTCCTGACACACTGCATGATTTTATTGGCTCATTTATTTATCTTGATCGCCACATCATTTGACATATGGCATGATTTTTTTGGCTCGTTCTTTTGACTTGGATTGCCACATCACCTGACACCTGACATGAGTTTGTGCTCTAAGATGGGCAAATAGCTATTTGAACCTTGGGCTAATGAAGTGGGCTTATCATTTAATTTGTAGTCCAATTAAATGGACTAGCCCAACACATACATATTGGATTTAAATAATTAGCCCAATCTACAAGACACTATATTTGTCTGGACTAATGTCTTGAATTTAATATGGTCAAAATTATTTTATGGATTTAAATTCAATAAAATTTAAATGCTTATAGTGTCTTTTGGTCTTAGACCACTTTCGACCTAAGGCCCACTATTGTTTGTTTGCACTTAATGGAGGTCTGAATCTTAATCATTCAGATCTCAAACACTAAGTGCGTTTATTTTTAAAGTCTGAATCTTAATTATTCAGATCTTAATCATTAAGTGTGTTTGTTTTTTTTACTTCACAACCACTTAATGGGTCTGAATAGGTCTGTATGATTAAGATCTATAACAGAGACTTAATTTCATTAAGATGCTATCACATATTTATTATTAACTGCCGCCACCGCCTACCATTATCAACTACCACCATGCCGCCGCCGCCGCCATACTCAACCACCACCACCACCACCACGCCACCATCATCCTCAATCATAGCCGCCACCATTACCAACCATCACCACCCACTATCCCCGCCACTCCGACCACCATCATTATCACCCACAATCAACACTCATCCACCTCAACTACCACAACTGACCACCCCATCACCATCAACAACCACAGCCGGTACTGCCCATCTTATAACCTACCACCACCCACCCACCACCTTCCTTAGTCACAACTATTACCATCAACCGCCATTATTAACTATCACCACCCACCCCCACCATCCTCAATTATAATCGCCACCACTACCAATCACTACTAGCTACTAGCATGAACCACCATCATCAACCAAAACTACCACCAACCACCGCCTCTAGTCGACATTCACCCGTTAGCCATCACCACCAACAACTATCATATTTTAAAAAACTGTATATTTTATTGATAGAATATAGATTAGTGAGTATTTCATTTGAATTTTATGTTTATTAATTTTCAAATAAAGATAAATTTTATACATTCAGATGTTAAAAATCAAACAGTCTTAATTATTTCTATTCAGATCTTAATACACATCTAATATATTCAGATGTGTATTCAGATTCAGATGTCTTAATCTTTAATACACATCTTGATATTCCGATGTGTATTCAGATTCAGACGTCTTAATCTTAAAAAAAAACAAATGAATAAGACCTATATAGGTCTGAACATAACAAGAGAGAAAAATAAGAGAGTAGTTGTTTTGAAGGGTTTGAAGAAAAATTGTGCTCTTTCACTCCAGAAAATTTCTGCTTAGGCAGTCCAGTTCAAATGGCATTTTTCTACTCGTTAACCAGTGGATTGTACTCAAATTTAAATTGAGCATTCTTAACATATAATTCTTGGATGTCAACGGTGAAGATTGGATTTGAAGGTTTGTATTTTCAGTTTTGGAGGCTTGAACAGTAGCACATATTTGGGTGAATTCTCTCCTTTTCTTCAATTGCTTTGGTGCACTCTTGTTTCTATTGTTGCTCTTGGTTTGGCACTTGCTTTGTCATCAATTTGGAAAAAATTTGTAACTATTGTTGATTGATATTGTGGAGCTTTATGGGTTGGAGGTACCGTGGTTCTTACTCTTGACGTTAAGTCTTGGTGTCTTGTGTGTTTGATTATTTCACTTGCCTATATTTGATGTTGGTTGATATACTGCCCGGATATGTTTGTACGTGAGTATGTTTATCTTCACTTGGTTCAAATAAATTGGGGAAGTTTGACTTGGCTATTTTCCGCGGCTACCTTGTCATGCATTGTTTACTGCTTGTTTTTACCCAACGCATGTCTCAATTGAAAAGTTTGTCATTACTAGAAAAATACTTGAAGTCCCCAAATAAGAACAAAACATTTTCATCATATAAGTAGCACATAAAGAGTTACAGATCTGCAAACATATGATAAGTTTTTGAGTCCACTGCAATGAGCCTGAACGCAGCTACTAAAACAGTTGCAGATGCGAAACCAAAGAAGACAATATTTAGCCAATGCCACTTCTTTTGTAGTGAAGCCAGCTGCTTTTCCATGGCAACAAGGTACATGTGGTTAGGGAGAATAAATGTGAGTGGAAATGTGCTGATAGCACCTGTGAGGCTCATGAAATCTCCAAGGAAAGGTAACAGAGCTGACAATAACGTAGTAATTGCTAGATAACCACCTCTGACTATTGTTCTGAATACCACGTTCCGAAAATCGACTGCACTTCCTTTGAATCCATATTTGGTATCCAGGAATTCATATGTTGGACTTGCAAATATCTACAATATGCAAAAAAAAAAGGGAGCCTTTAGAGTCGGTGAGTTCAGAATGAGTGTGATCATATGTATCCATTTTAAATGATCTATTTTCGTAATACATATAGTTTAAGGCCAAAAGTAACAGATTCAGTTGAATCCATTATATAGCCGCCATAGTAGCAGAGCTGAATTTTCCGTTTTGAGACCAAGAAAGGATGGAATAGCATCAGATCAAAGTGGGGATATACTTACATGTAAAGATATGATGGATTGCAAGAAAGCAGCAAGGTTGGCTAGTGCCTTCACCCAAACTGGGCCACTGACATTGTTGAGCAAATAGGATGATGAGCTTGATCCATAGGCCCAATACCCCACAAAAGTAACGGCAAAAACAGGCACAGAGCCTAAAGTAAACTGTAAATATAGGGCTTTCAACATGTTGTCGACAACAGGTGGTCTAAGAGTAGCCTGTTACAAAAAGGATTTAACAAAAAATATGAGGATACTGTTAGAATCTAGACAGAAACAAATTGATTGAGAGGAAATAAGTGAAAAGTCATTTACAAGTACAAGACAAGATAAGATTTACATAGTACAAGAAATGGGGCAGGCACACTCAACAAAACGGAATAAAGAGTGATACAAGGGCTGGAGAATGATTTATTGCCTTATTCATAGTCATAATCTAAATATCCTTCAACTTAATTAAAAGAATATATTTCTTATATCTGAGTATATCCACGGAGACGTATGATGGTTTAAAAAAAATCTAAAAATGATAATGTCCATCACACAAATACATTGCTGAAGTGGTACTCTGTTCATAAGGCTCCTATATTTCTAGCTTATATAGATACCTGGATCTCTGGAACCATTCCAGTGTTAAATGCAAAAACAAGGTTTCCTGTTGCACCAATAATTGCAAAAGCTCTGCTTGCTTTTGACTCTGGAAGGCCATAGTCCCTAGGTGGAGCACTCATTCCTGCAATTTAGGAAAGAAGAGAAGGATGCATGTTAACTATGTACTAGTTCCTTAGACAAGAGAGTTTGAAATGATACTGGACATGGACATTTCACATAAAGCTATATATCCTTTATGGAAATGGCAAACCGATTCAAGGAATTTCTGACACAAGTATTCAATTAGTTCGGACTCGTTTAGTATTGAATTGGAACCAAAATAAAAAAGCTTTTCTTAAAGTCAATCCAATAGCACATTACTAAATTCGAAATATTCTTCCCAGTATTTCAGCAGAGCAGAGAGCAACTGAACCGCCAATTCTATTAGTGGTACCGATTCTGTATAGTGGTAGTATGGTACTAAACCCCCCGGGGCTTTATTGTTGGATGTGAAGAATTATTATGACAGATATATAGTAAAGCTGATATTAATAGCAGGTGTATAACAGAAATAGGTGATGTTAATAGCAGGTCTAATAGCATATGATAAAATGTTGAAATGGGGATGCTTAGGTAGTTGCTTTGCTGAGTGCAATAATCAGACAAGCTCCCTCTAGCATTTCCTTTTAATACTCAGTTCAAACTGTCTGATGACACCAATAAAAATCCCATTCTCTGAAGGAGGCATGATTCCAGTTACATTATTTTATTTTTTTAACGTTGCTAATCTTTGTTACTAGAACTAAAGAGATTCAAATTGGTATAGTAACTTCTGTTCTCATATATTAGCTGACAACAGAAAATTAGTGAGATAACATTCATTTTATGTATTTGCCCTTTCATATCACGGATAAATTACACCAGGAAAGAAGAGGCTCCAAGAATATCAATAACTAGCAAAAATTAGCCCAGTGATAGTTAACTTCACAGCATTGGTTCCTTCATTAATATTTGAACAAACATTGAGCATATATAAAACTTCAATAAATTAATGTCACACTTCTGATGTAGTCAGATCACACTGGGGGGGGAGAAAGAGAGACATGCATACCGTCTTTAAGAGATAAAACAAAGGTTATAGTGATATAGACTAGACTGAAGAATGTTGAAGCCGCCAACCAAGCCCTTAAACTTGACAAATGCGGTACAGCTATGGCAAAAAGAACACATCCCAATCCAGCGATTGCTGTGAAGTAGGGCAACTTCATCCCATCATCATCTCTAAAGAGAACATAGAAAGCCTGTGAATCATATACCTTCATTCAGAATCATTTCTACCACTTGACCAAACAAGGTAACATTTCAAGATCAATTTCATCTTAACAAATACTTCAAGTTGCGGTCTATAGCTTTCTAGCAACCTCCCCTTTCTCCTCTTATTCATCATCTCTTTTTTTCTCAACTTCACCCCCTTTTGGAATAGAAAAAGGAGATTTAGTAGGAATGAGGAGGGACCAGACTCTGAAATTACTGTGGCGAGCTCTCACAGGTATCTTAGTGACACAAAGATAGTAAGGCAAGGAAAAAGGTTAAGGATATTTTCTTACCTTTAACGACGATGATAACAACCAACAATTATTACTGTGCCTCAATTTCAAAAAGGTTCGAATTGGCTATATGAATCTTCAATGTTCATGTGGCTCCATCATTAAAGCCGGTCATTGTCCAATATTACAAAATTTTAGTTTTTCTTACATTAGAAGCCTATATATTTTTATTTGGTCTATAAATCTCTAACAAGACTGAAAGACTCCTAGCAAACATTGAACAAAAAGTAAACATAGTGTTATAGCTAAAACTTAACCTAATTAGCAGATACAGCCTACACAAATTCTTTTCTCATTGTAACTACGCTTGTATGAGCTTGCTCACATTGCCGATTCCCAACCCAAATAGAGGAGGAAGGTTAGGTAAAGTAACAACAAGCTAAAACTAGCCCATTAATATGACAAATCCTCATAATATAGAACATCTTACCTTTAACGACTGTCCACCCAAAATGATAAATCCAATATTTATCAAGAAAAGATTTGCATACTGTAATCCCCAGACAACTACAAAAGCTATCCGACCTGCATCATCCGACATTCCAATTAATTAACTAAGTCAAATAAACCAAAATTTCATACTGAGCTAGGCTATCTATTGATAATGTTTTCGTGATTTTTCTCGTACCATACATGAATCCTGCAAGGTCTCTATATCTGATATGCCTCTTTCCCCCATATTCATGGATCTTGGCAATCAGAGCATTAGCATATAATGATATCACTGCTGCTAACATCAGACCAATCACACCTCCAATCCATCCCAAAGGTACCATGACTGCACCAGCATATCCTAGCGCGTAAGCGCTGTTCATACCAGTACACAGAAGAACTCCCACCTGAAAGGATGAATCTACATTTTGCAAAACACATGAGTCAGAGAACACAAATTACAACGGTTTCGACAAACAGATAAATATACGAAACACATGACATGTGCTCATTTTCTTTCTTCAGTAACTCCTACAATTATCTGTTGTAATATCATGATCCAAATTTGGTTAGAGGCACGTGATTTCGTTCAAAGTCACGCGGGCTACATATTGGCGCGATATCACTCTGTATTCAATACAAACATAGGGAAGACATGAACAAAAGGCTGTGAAGAAGACTAACGGAGAGTGGATGTTCACGGTGGCACCTACATGGGCGAGAAAATTATGGGCATAATGAGTAACTCGACATCAAAATCTGAAATGAGTGCATCTGCAACGTCAATGGTTGGGACCGGAGAAAGCCAGATGAAGAGGCTGCTTTCCATTGAAGTGCTTATGATTATGGACTCTATGGTGAAGAATGTAAAACATAAGAAAATGGGAAATAGCCTAACTCTAATCTATGCACTCTCATGCAAGTATTGATCAGGTTTCCCATCTAAAACTCTTCTATTTGAATTTGACACATTTGATTAATTTCAGTACACAAGTATATTCAAACACATTTGCTCATATTCTGTTCTTGTATCCACTCTGTCAATTTCACCAGCCTTGAGCGTACCTCCGAAACAGAAGTTTGAGATTGTGAACCTGGCTAAGAAGAGCGTTACATATATATTTGTGAGGGTTTGTTTGGTTGAAATATGTGTGCAGATTGGGTCAACAGACTTTGCATTGCAATTGTTTGTTGAAAATCCTGAAAGAAACAAAGTTCAAAATGCGTGTGTACGGAACGTTTTGATACTTGGGTGTTGTTAAATTGGGCGGGTAAGTAAGGCATTGGTGTTGTTTGAGAAAATGTTGGAGGAATGCAGGGTCTTGCAATACTTCGTTTAGTGGTTTGATGAGGAATAGGATAATTTAGAGAGCTGGTTGATTGGACGAGACTTGTAAATAGATGTATGCCCTTAGAGCCAGATATTATTTAATCTGGATTGCAGTATTTTCTACTTGCAGAGTTCACAAATATGTTGAAATGGCAAAAGTTGCATCAAAAAAGCTCTTGTTGCATCCAGGGTCTTGAACCAAAAAATGTTTGGGGTCATGCGTTTCTGTAGACTCTAATATTTAAGCAAGAAGGGGGATGTTGAATGAGCTAGAAATTCTATGGAAGACAAAATTAATATTGAAAAAGGATCCTGGACAAAGTTCGATGGAGGTAGATAGTGTATTGCATACACTAGTTGCTGTTGATAATGCTCATACAAATACACAGGACATGTACTCTAAATCGAAAGAAATAATTATAGGAGCTAAACAACACGTTACATGCCAAAAACTAGTGGTGGACATATAATCAAACTTGAAGACCTATTGATATTCTGGATGAAATTGTAACAACAGAAACCTGGAGAGAATCATTTTAATTCTACTTTGAATTGAATCATTGGAGTACTGTTCATGTCCAATTAGTAGGCCCTGCCCTGCAGAGTGTTGGGATCGGTCTTCTTATATGGTCTTGGATAGTTGTGATGATCCGATTGGTCATTTTGAGTTCTAGCCCTTATTTCCGTATTCCGATACCTTTATTTTCTCCATTTAATATTACTCAATTTTCATGCACAGTCCATGTCTTTTTTCCGAAAGGATTTTATATAAAAATTTGAAGAAAATATGATTTTTGGCTTTAAAAATAACTTGAGTTGACTACGGCCAATATTTTATGTCAACAACCCCGGATCGGTATTTTGATGGTCCTGAGGGGCCGTATTGTAATTTTGGCCTTGGGCATATGTCCGGAATTGAATACGAAAGTCCCTAACTTAATTTGACGTGTTGTGTCGAAAGATAGTTACTTGAAGGTTTAAAATTTCCTAGGTTTAATCGTAGGTTGACTTTATGGCTACCGAGTTCGGATTTTGATTCGGGGACCCGGTATAGGTTCATTTTACTATTTAAACCTTGTCTGCAAAATTTAGTGCAAATCGGAGTTGGTTTGATAGGATTCGGACGCTCGGTTGTGATTCTTGAAGTTCTTGAGTTTCTTTGAAGATTTCATGCATTTTGATGTTTGATTCGTAGTTCTAAGTGTTATTTTGGTATTTTGATCGTGCTAGCGAGTTCATATGATGTTATTACACTTGTGTGCATGTTTGGTTTGGAGCCTAAAGGGCTCGGGTGAGTTTCGGATAGGCTACGTACCATTTTGAACTTAAAAAGTTGCCGCTTTCACCTGTTCTCTGGTGTCTGATGTCATATGCTTCGCGATCCCGAAGCTACTCTCGCGATCGCAAAGGGAGAACTTAGGGTTGGGGTGGATTCTTTCTATGCGAACGCGAGGATACGGTCGCGAACGCGGAACAGTGGAGGGTTTAATTACCCTTCGCGAACCCGACTGTTACCTCGTGAACGCGATGGGTTGTGGCATCTGGGGAGCAGGCTGGGCAGTACTCTAGGTGAACGCGGGCCTAGGCTCATGAACGCAAGCCTAGGCTCGCGAAAACGAAGGCCAGGAGGTGAGGCCATCGTGAACGCGGTGGGTATCTAGCGAACGCGAAGGCCTGTTTGGCCGCTGCGCTTCGCAATCGCGTCACCTACTTAGTGAACGCGAAAAACACCTGATGCCCAGTGTTATGAACTTTCAAAAGGAGGATTGAGTCATTTTGTACCATTTTCAAGTTTGAGCTCGGCCTAGAGGCGATTTTGAAGAGATTTTTCATTCCAACTTCATTGGTTAGTCTATTTTAACTTGTTTCTTTACATTTCCATAAACACCTATTGATTTTAACATTTAATCTAAGCTTTTTCATGGTAGAAATTAGGGATTTAGGTAGAAATTGGAAATTTTGAGAAATTGAGATTTTGACCTCAAATTGAGGTCAAATTTCGAAACTAATTACATAATCGGGGCTTGGGGGTAAATGGATAATTAGGTTTTGGTCCGAATATCGGATTTTGACCAAGCGGGTCCGGGATTGACTTTGTTGACTTTTTTTGAGATCATTAAAGATTGAATCTTTTTCACTCATGGGTAGTTTCTAAAGCTTATTTTGAATTATTTGAACTATAATTGACTATATTTGACTGATTTGGAGGCTAATTCTAGAGGAAAAGCCGTGATTGTGCCTTGATTTGGTTGTTAAGCAAGGTAAGTATCGTGATTAACCTTGAGTTGAGGGATTAGGACTTGTTGGTCTACTTGCTACGTGTATTAACTATTATGTGTGGGGGACAATATATATGTGAGGTGACGAGTATCTGTGTGTTGTCATTGGGTTAAAGCTTGCGGCTGTAAATTGTTTCTTTGTATATTATATTGTTTCATTGACTATATTTTCCATGCTTAGATCAGATTATTACTTCTTCTAATTATTCTTTTCGTATTTATTGTTTATTTCAAAGATGTTGGATATTTTGAAAGTTGAGTTTGATATCATGGCACTATAATTGAAATGAAATTATTTTTCGTCTTGCTTTTATTATCCGAAGTTGTATTGTTGCTTCGTGAGGAAGGGAGAAAAGCACGAAGGGTGTTGTCGTGCCTTATTTACATTCATTATCCTATATTGAGAGATTTGAGAGTAAAAGAGCAAAGGATGATATCGTGCCGATGAGTAAAAGCACGAAAGATGATATCGTGCCATTTTATTTATGATATTACTTGGTGAGTACGAGAATAAAAGCACGAACGGTGATGTCGTGCCATCTTTATTTTATTGCCTTAATTGATTTTCGGATTTGGTGATTTACTTGGTTATATTGTTATTTATCTCGGAAGATGTTAGTTGGCGATTTCATGCTTGTAGTTCTCATGATATTTCCCCTTTCGCATGTCCCCTCCCCGTTATATGTAGGTGTCTTGTCATAGACTCGTCAATATCTCGTCGAGGTTAGGCTCGACACTTACGCAGTACACTTGGTCGGTTGTACTCACACTGTACTCTTGTGCATATACTGGTGCTGATCCTAGCGGCTTCCAATGGTTTTTCTGCTCGGATTCAGCCACAGTTGGATACTTGAGGTGTAGTTGCACGGTGTCCGCAGCCCCGAAGTCCCCTTCTTTATCTATCCTACTGTTTATCTAGTTTCAAACAGTTGTACTTGTTTCAGACCATGTATGTAGCATTCTAGTAGCTTATGTACTTGTGACTCCGAATTTCTGAGAATAGTTAGTATCGCATTGCTTTTATTCATTCTGTGTTAAATTTTGAGCTTATTTCTCGCTAAATGTCATCACTTTGTATTGAATATTAAAAATTGGTTAATTACTTTATTCACGTTGGCATGCCTAGCGCAAGTGGGTATTAGGCGATATCACGGTCTCAAGCTTGGGAATTCCGTATAGTGAGAATAATACTCACCAAGTTTTTTAGTTATTATTGTTAACAGTTCTTTCCTTCATCTATCCTCTCCTTTTCTTTCCCATCAACGAAGTGTTTAGGCTGTGCTAAAAGAGCCTCATTCAATACAATGTGCGAATAACTGTCGACCAATAATTTCAGTCGTGATTTCTTGTTTTGGGAAAAAGAAGAAAGCAGTAAGTTCTTATTGTCATATTGGGAATGAATATAGTAAGTGTAGGCGTTGGTTCAGGTATGAACATCTAAGTAGAATTTATTGTTATATTATGTAAGTTGGAATCCCACACATTGAATTAATATCAATAAGATCTGGTACTATTTTATGTTGGATGATTTGATTCATTCTCTTCCGCAAATTATCAATTTCGCCGAGATATTCCGAAGTACACTTATAACAATTTTTTTCATATAATCAGACTGCCCAGGGATAATTATCTGTTACTCACTTGTTTCTATTTCTTCTTTTTTAATTTTTAGTTTTTGGTGAGAATGGAGGCAGTGCATAATTTGAAGAAAAACTAACCCAGATAGTCGCGTACTTAATCACTTAAATTAAAAATAGCCCGCAGATGTATCATGCGGAAAAGGTTGGACATAATTATCTTCGTTTCCAAATTCAACACTAGTGAGTGTGGACAAATCCAGCTTCTCCACACTGCCGAACCCCTTGTGTTTTCATAAAACTCAAATTCCAGCTATGGAAGCGCATAACGAGGCTTAGGGCCTCATTTATTTTTTTTAATATTAAAGACATCTAAATCTGAATACATTAAGATCTGAATTCTAAATAATTAAGATTGTTTGTTCGTTTATATATATATAGTTGATGGTGGTGATGGCTAATGGAGGCGCTTGTGAATGCCGACTAGAGGCGGTGCTTGGTGGTAGTTTTAGTCAATGGTGGTGATTCTGAATAATAGCTAGTGGTGATTGGTAGCGATGACGATTATGATTGAGGATGGTGGAGGTAGGTAGTGATAGTTTTAATGATGGGTGGTGATGGTGGTTGTGGTTGTGATTGAGGAAGGTGATGCTGAGGTGTGGTAGTTTATAATGGTGGGTTGTGCCGGCTATGGTTGTTGATGGTGATGGAGTGGTTGGTTGTGGTAGTTAAGGTGGCGAGTGTGTGGTTGTAGTTGAGGATGATGGTGGCAGGGATGGTAGGTGGTGGTAGTGGTGGCGGCTATGGTTGAGGCCTAGTGATGGTGATGATGGTTGAGTATGATGGCGGTGATGGTAGTTGATAATGGTAAGCGATGACGACAGATAGTAATGAATATGGATGATAACATCTTAATGAAATTAATTAGTCTTTGTTATAGATCTTAATCATATATACCTATTCAAACTCATTAAATAGTTGTGAAGTTAAAAAAATAAACACATTTAATGTTAAAATCTGAATGATTGAGATTCAGACTTTAAAAACAAACACACATAATATTTGAGATCTGAATAATTAAGATTAGAGACCTTCGTTAATTAAGTACAAATAAATGAGGTCTTATACTCCATCCGTATTAGTGGAGATGTCAGTTAGTGAAGACGTCGATTATTGACATAGTTGTAGGTAAATGCGAAACACAATAAATTTATTTTTAGTTTTATGTCTTTTTTACAAGAGATATTAATTTTTACAGCATGAGAGATATAAAAATAACAAACTAGAGATTTTTTTTTTTTTTTTTTTTTTTTTTAGGTTTAAACCAAAGTTTACATATATTTTGGACCCCATTAAAAAATATTTTGATAAAAATAGTCCTGCGCCAGATTTTTAAAGCATACTAGGCAGAACTTTAAAACACGAAACAATATTGTGGTGATTGTCATGATTTTGGCACAAAATTTCACAATATTGAAAATTTTTGGTGATCCATCAAAATAGTATGACAAAATCCTAAGGATCATTATAACTGATGCGTGCTCTAAACTTCCGCCTGACGTGCTTTGAAACTCCAACGCATAAGGAAAATTGTACCCCAGCGTGTAGGGGTGTTCGTCGGTCGGTACGGTACGGTATTT